AGGGAGAGGGAGAGGGAGAGGGAGACAGCGGGAGAGGGAGAGAGCAGGAGAGAGAGAGAGACAGAGACAGAGAGAGAGAGAGGGGGAGCGAAAGAGGCAGAATACAGAGATGCCCGCCTTGGGGTTCTTGGCGCCCTTCGGCCTGAGGAAGGATTCCGGGCTTGAGGATTTAGAATTTAGAAGCATTCAAGGCCTAGGAATTTAGGGTTTAGGGTTTAGGGTTTAGTGGCGATGTTAGGAGGATTGTGTAATGTCGCTCTGAAAACCCTGTAGTATGACCTGATACGAAATACCCCAGAACTCGATTCTGATTTATAGGGGTTGGGATAAAGCCCCTCTATTGTGATTAATCAAGATATCATATACAAACTTCTATTCCAGTTCTAGCTGTTTAGACCATTGTGACAACTTTACATTCTGTGAGAGCCTCTCGCTCTCCAAACCCTGCGCAGGAGCCAAAGAGAAGTACGACAGGAACCTGGTGGACGAATACCTGGTTCTAGATCCCGAATACGGTTGGATGCATCTTAACAACCCTATGAACTACAAGGCAACACCTACTGTCTGAAAATTGAAATGGGGGTTTCCGAAAATTAGGGTACCTTATTTTGGGGTCCTTATAATAAGGATCCTACTATTTAGGGTACTATATTGGGGTCCCCTATTTTCGGAAACTCCCAAATGGAACTGCTATGATATACAGCTCGGCTCAGACTCCCCACACAGGCTCCCAACATACTTGTGTCCACATCATCCGAAAGTGCAAAGCCTAAACCCTGACAGAAGAAGTGCTGAAAGTCAGGTTCCTGCATCACCCGTAGCTCCTAAAGCATAAGCCTAAAACCCAATGCCCCGAACCCCAGTTTCCAAAACTCCTCTTTCAGAATCTTACTAACCCCTGATAAACCAACATATACCCCATTTGGGATACCGTACCAAACCTGACAATGCCCCAAAAAACCGCACCATAAGCATCCCTGTACATCCTTATCCCTTATATAAACCATGTCGAAAACCCCAACCGAACCTGACGAAGTCCCATGAACATTCCTGTGCAACCTTATGAAACCCTGAACCCTAAACCCCCAAACCCTAAACCCTAAACCCTGAACCCTAAACCCTAAACCCTAAACCCTGAACCCTAAACCCGAAACCCTTTGCCGCTCGAGCCGGGGCCGACGCTTCGGCTTCGCTACTTGCAGGTTTGGCGGCAGCGCGGGCCTCGTTTAGGGTTTAGGCTTTAGGGTTTAGGGTTTAGGGTTTAGGGTTTAGGGTTTGGGGTTTGGGGTTTGGGGGGGCTGGAAGTGAGGAGAACGTACGGGTCTTAGTAGTTTAAAGAGGATTCCGTTGAGGGTTCATCAATGAATATGCTGATATGCTGTGAAGGTTCTAGTACAGGGGGGCCTCCATATGTAGAATAGGGTTTCGGAGTATAGTGTTATTAATTATTAATTATAGTCTACTTGTAATGCGAGACAGGTTTGGTAGGGGTGAATGAGTGCTGATTTCATTCATGGCGGCCTATACAGCTTTTGAAAAGGGTGTTGCAGTGCTGTATTAGCAGCCCTAAACCCTAAACCCCAGCACGCTCCCTTTCCTGAAGGGCCTGATTGTTAGGATCTCTATTACCATTCTTTCTTTTGAGCTGGGGCGTGCTATTGTTCTGTTTTAGGTGGCTGCAAGGGTTTCATACGGGGTCTCTGAGCTGCTTAGGGTTTACAAGGGCTTATGCAAGTGAGTATGGATTTTAGTTTGGGTTTTATATATGATTCAAGGAATTGGGGCCAAACAGGGAAAGCAAGGGGTGTTTGACTCTCTGAGCCACAAATTGGCGCAGCCACAGCAGTTTTGCCAAAACTGTGATGTCAGCCATGGCAATCGTATCAGAGGTGGCAGTCTTCCTGTCAAACTAACTAATGTAGGGACCTTAGTATTTAGAATAGGATTTTGGGCTGCTTTCTATACTTATAATAAGGAACCCTAAGGAACAACATGGAGATTATTTAGGCTTCTATATTAGCACGACTCCAAGCGCGAAGCCCCAAAGCCCTAAAACCATGCCACATCTGCTGGGGCACGCACGGGGGCACGCTAACTTCCACCATGGTAGTGACATTATCCTGCACAGCGACAAGAAAGCTCACTATCGTTGCAGATGGACAGCACAAGAAGAAGCTCGCGCAAAGGCTGGCTTTGGAGTCAGCGGCCAAAGGTGAACACGATATATCTGGCCCTAAACCCTAAACCCTAAACCAGACTTGCGCGTGCCTGGGGCGCCACGAGCACGCACTGATACAGCAGGAACTGCTGGAAGAGCGCCCCTGTCACATCGTGGCGGGTTTAGGGTTTAGGGTTTAGGGCTTGTTTCAACGTTCATGCCTTCATCATCTTCATCGTCTAATCGTCATCAAGAGAAGACTGAGGACACCTGTCCTGTCAGCCCAGACCCTCAAACCCCAAACCGCATTAGGTAACCCCGAAACCCAGTTAAAGTCATCAG